AAATCATTTGTTAAAAACTCCTTGATGCTGTAAAAAGCTTTTGCAGTGAAGTACAGTTTAAGGCTTACTTTAAATTGGAATAAGTTAAGTTGTGTAATTTAAGAAGGTAGGACGTTGTATAAATGTATGCAATAATAGTTACACGAAAATGTAGTCTCACAAAAAGTAGACTTACGTTATCCCTATTACGGGTCTGATAGTTATGACACGTAGAGTGTACCTCAAAATTTTCGATGTTTGCTTTTATGTACAGAAGGCACTCCAGTATATACAAGCAAGGATATGTTAATATACGGAGCGATGCAAAAGCGTCTTTGCATTGCTCTCTATATTTAAGGTTATTAATGATCCTAATGGCTCTCCTTTGTAGCCCGAAAATACGATAGGCTATACTGGAATGTCCCCATACCAATATCCCATAGGAAATATGAGGCTGAATTAACGAGAAGTATATTGTTTTAAGAATTTTTGCAAGACTCCCGAGGCCGCACGTAACAGGTAAATACCAGAATTAATTTTTTTAGAAATTTCATCCCCATGATTATGCCATGCTAGTTTATAGTCAAGATGTACGCCCAGAAACTTAACTTTCGGCGACGTGAGGGATACGTCAAACTTGCACAGTGAAAATGTAACATTTAAAGACTTGTTCTTATTTAGACATAATTGATTTGCATTGAACCATTCTGTGGCCTTCGTTTGCACATCCCTGCTACGAAAGTTGCCTTTTCAAAAGATCTACAGCTAACTGACAGAGAAGTGTCGTCAGCGAACAGCATAATATTGCAGTGTGAGCTCATGAAATAAGCGAAGGTCGTTAATATAGATTAAAAAGAGAACAGGACCTAGTACTGACCCTTGGGGCACCCCGTGTAGCATTGTCGTTGACTCTGATTTGGTGTTATTAGTGGTTACATACTGGAGTCGTTCTGATAAATAAGATTTAACTAAATCTCTACTGTCGACGTCAAAATTGTAAAATTGTAATTTATTTAGTAAGATAGCATGGGAGACGCAGTCGAAGGCTTTCTGTAGGTCTAGGAATGTCGTGATGTGATATTCTTTAAGGTCAAGACTGTTATGAATGGAATTAATAAGAGCAAGGACAGCATCAATCGTCGAGTGTCCTTTCCTAAATCCAAATTGTTTTTCGGAAAATTAGTTGTTATCTTCAAAAAAATGTGTTATAGGGTCGGCTAGTAATTTTTCAAAAATTTTGGCGAATATGAATATAATTGAAATTGGACGATAATTGTTCATATCAGTTTGGTTCCCCTTTTTCAGGATCGGAACAACTGACGCAATTTTAGCACCTTAGGAAAAGTATTAGTTCGTATGCACGCATTAATAATTTTCGTAAGGGGTGGGAAGATTGCCAGCTGATACCCTGAAGTGTGTATCGCAGGAACCAGAGAGATCTATCGCCTATTTAAATACACCAGCTGACGAGTTTTCCCTCTGTATATTGCTAGCTGACTTTTTTATTACTTACAGGATCATACTATCAGCTTACACATTCTTAACCGGGAGGAAATTACTTTCTTTCAACCTACGTCGGAACCACCGCTGCACCAC